ACTAGCAAAAGCACTAGAAGGCACACTCAAGAGATGATTAATAATCTACATATGATGCAAGAGGCTCACTATCATTTACATACCTTGTCAACTTTCAATATAGATTTTTCAAGTTATCTTTCCTCTCGTTTCATCAATAGATATTCAATTCGTGGCCAGCAAAAGGGCCAAGTTCGTCATCCAAGCAAAAATCCTGATGAACTAGTGCGTGTCTTCTTTCCTCATTCAAAAATCAATTTTTATCAAACATTGCATATTGGCAAATTAAGATTATGCACACGATCATATGCAACGAACAAGATTGCCGACGATTCAAACATTATTTTTCTTCTCGACGGTATTGAATATCCCGGCAGAATTCGAGCAATTTTTACTTTAGATAATGATGAACCTTATCTGCTTGTTGCTTATTTGCGAGATCTTAATCCACTCACTTGTGCAATAAATGCTAACGAAAACTTTGCCTATCCTAATATACTTTATACGTCAACATCAAAATGGAATTTTACTCCTATTGAAGTTAAAGATTTTATTGAAAAGAGTGCATTTTTCCGAAGTACAGCCGGTATAAGTTATTTTCTTCGCTTTCCAACTCTTGAACATTGTTCTTAAAAAATTTACACAAAACACATATGTAGCTCAACCTTTTTACTTTTGTATGTGATGATTTAAAATAAATCCTTTCAAAAGAGTAGAGAAAACATAACAAGTACTGCACTAATAATCTAACTTTCTAAATTTTTCAGATATCACGTTTATAAGATTTAAATAATAATTTATTTTACGTTGCTTTAATCGGTAATGCTAAGTTTACTGAATAGTTTTAACTTTTTCTTTTATAACACAACATAATCACAAAAAGATTATTGGTAATAATTTTTTTCATACGTTTTCTCAGTAATTACGAAAAATCAATAAAAATTGATTTCTGATCGTGACAGTTGTCAAAAAATAGTTTTTGAATCTAGAATCAGTATATTTCAATTTTCGTGAACTATTCTGTGGAAAAAATAACTCATCATTGAATTTCTAATTTAATTATTTTAGCCTGAATAAAACTGAACTCATTGTAATGCATTGAGAAGGAAAATTGATTCTAACATATTATTAGTTTGTAGGAGTTTATTTTAAACGAATCTATATAAATAATTACAATCGATTCGATATCTAAATCGATTTTCGTCTGTTATAATCAATATTACTCGATTTGAATCGAATCTAATCTTGATGATTACAATCGATTCAAGATCTGAATCGATTTTCGTCTATTATAATCGGGGAAATAATAATGAAATGCTGATGCAAATCGATTCTAGTTCATTCATAAAGAAATCATAGACAATCGATTATAGTCCCTTTAATCGAGTTTATGCCATTAAAATTAAAAAAATCGATTATAATTCATGAAAAATCTTTGATTCCTAACCCGCATTGAAAAAAACTCGATTAGAATCATCAATTTAATCGAAAAAAATCATAATTGCTAGATTTTCATCAATTATTTGGGGTTGGAATCAATTATAATCAGGAATATGTTGATTTTTCGCGTAAATTTTTTTACATGGGACGTTCATTGATTGTTTGAAAAATATTTCAAGACCAATTTTACTAATCTTTGACGGACATACTTCTCATTTGCCATTAGAAAATGCATGATTAACAATAACCTTCATTTCCTGTCTTCCGGTCCATTCCACACATGTTCTGCAACCGTTGAACGTGTACACATTGAAGTATGTGAAGGGACAATGGCGTAGTTTACTTTGGAATCATAGCAAAAATGAATGCTGTAAAAAAAATTAGATAGATCTACTTTTATTTTTATCCTACTGTATACTCAATTACAACATTACTATTTTTCTTATTCACCATTTTATTGAAAATGCTCATCAAAAAAGATAGTATTATTTGTTACAATGTTTAACTATTGTTATTTTGACAAAATATATGCTTTAATTGACTATATATATATATATACAGTTTAATTAATTGATATGTTTCTTTTTAAAAATATATATTTGATTTTTGTGGTACATGTATGACTATCAATGATGAATTGTATTCATGTTTGACACTGTAGAAAAATAAATTCTGTTTTTATCTAAAGTTTTACACTTTATTTCAATGTCTTAAATGAATCCAAAGCGATTTCGGGACTGACACATGAATAGTAGTTGCCGGGATAATTCATTTTAAACTAGAATTCTCGCACCACCGGAAAAAAATAGAAAACAATAACTTCCGACTATTTTCTGTTCGAGTACAATTTACTTTGACCTTCATCGAAGAACTTACACAACTGCTAATCCCTACTAACTATATAAACAAGTTTCATTTGAATTACTCGATCATTTTATTTTATATTCATTATTGAGTTCTTCCATGAAGTACTGACGCGTGTATTAACTGAAAATAAACAAGTACTTAAATGAAACGAGTGAAGTCTCGACGTTGCATAGCTGCAATTACGTATGCGCAGACGTATCGCTTGTACTTGCAACTCTTTACATTTGGCCTCGTAGCCTGAAATCAATAAAAAAAAATGTTTAATGATTGTCGTCTTACTCAACAATATTTGTATAAGTACATATACTCTTCACGATTCTATACTTAAGTTTCGATCTAACTAATTCATCTATTCATTTTAACACTTAATTTTTTCTTTTTTTAGTAGTATGAGCTTATACTCTTCGACTAATTGTTTGTATGAGATCAATTTCTGTGAAAGTAAATTTTTTAACAATTCTCTATGAAAAAAAGATCAATTTTAATTCCTCGTTAGACAACTGAGGAATCACTTTTTTCTCATAACATAGAATAGGTACTTTGAGTTCTAACTGTTCCGGTACCCATTTCTATTTTATACATAAATAAAGAGAGATTCAATATTGGTAAAGAATTTGTAGGTCGTTTTGACTATTTGAACAGCCAAAAACTTTATGCGTCCAAGGAGAAAAATTCATAATTTAGTTCTCAAATCTAAACTCTATGAGCAAACTGCAATCCTGAAGGGATTAAAAATGTGAGACACGATATAACTACTGTTAGTAGTAATAAGGAGATTGTTAGAGTATATCCTATCTATTGTAATTGTAATAATAAAAAGATTCATATATATTTTTTCATACATATTTGTTAGAACTTAAATGTCTATACTTAAACGATCCTTTTAAACCTACTAATTTATTTTATTAATTGTAAGTAAGCGAACCGAAAGTCTAGGAATATAAAAGCAATTTATTCCTTGTTGAAAATTAACCTTTCAATAGAATTACATCATAACATTTATTTTAAAAACAAAAACAAAAAGGAAAATTTATAGACAAATACAAAACAATCATCTCTTCTTGTTTTCTATACAATTTTTCACCGGCGTTCACTGCTTTGAATCATTTGTATATTTTCATTTCCATTAAAATTACCCATATGATTATTATTATTAATTGATGTAGAATATGACGATGAACAATGAATGTTGGTTTCATAATTTAGTGAACTTGATGGTGAAACCGAACAAGAAGGACTATTCAATGTTGATGATGATGATGGTTTTAATAAATGCGTAAAATTATTACAATAAATTAACGGCAGTGATGATAATTTTGATGGCGCATACATTGGTTCATCGGACTGACGAGAATCCATTGAACTAGACATGCTGCTTGCATTGTCATCTATTGATGCTTGAAAAACTTTTGTTTGATTATCATCCGATGATGACGATGACATTTTTCTTATACCTAATTTATATTTAGCTGCTTCTGTATTTGATACATTTTCGGTTTTTTTCCATTTTGTACGACGATTTTGAAACCTAACAAAAGAAAAGAAACCTTGACTAATAGTTTGTTCTATGTTCAACTCGAATAAAACATACCAAATTTTAACTTGTGTTTCCGTCACTGTAAGTAATGATGCCATTTCAGCACGTTCAGTTGATGATAGATATTTTTTATCTTCAAATTTTTTTTCCAGCTCAAATATTTGTTTACTTGTAAATGTTGTTCGAGCTTTTTTCTTTTTTTTCTTTTGTATCTTTAATAAATGTAAATCTTCTTGATGTGGTTTTAACGAATCTCCAAGTATATCATCAATAAAAAAACTTGATATACGATTACTTTTTCGTGTAACGGTTGGTAATAAATTTATAGATGAAAAATAATGTCGATAAAAATCACTTGTCGATATTGGCATCGTAGACATAATGAAAAAATTCTCAGTCGTAAATCTGAAAAAATATTATCAGGCGTAAATATTCAAAAAAACAAAGATAGGACATACATCCCTACCAGTTCATAATAAAAGTCAGTCATGCACAAGTACAAAGTAAGAGAACTGGGTAAGAATTCATCATTATCATTTCTTTCTCTGTCTCTCTCTGATTGCTGAACGCGTACGTGTCAAATTACAATTGTCAGGCGTACAAGAGACAAAAATGATGATAATAACAATACTTTATTCGTCTTCAATGAGCATCAAACGGAGAGTTATAGGAGTAAAATGATGCCTGTATTTTTTCTTTCTCTCTTTCTTTGTTTCTCGAAACGACTAATTGAGAGGCAAATGATAATGATGATCATTTTAAATTATTAGTCATGCGAGTTAGTACATGGAACAAAGAAAAAAAGAAAAAAAACTAATGCTAATTGATGCTGTAATAGATTCATACGATCTCATCTCTTTTTTACTTCGTTTTGTTTTAACTTTTTTAATCATCCATCAGCAAGTCTTATTCTACTATATATATATATATATGAGTGAATTGCGCTGATATTATACGGTTTGAAGAAAAAAATAAGAGTAAACAGAGGATAGATTTGACCCGTGCATTCGATAGAGCCTTATTTGTTGTATATGAGTCAACTATTTTCCCCACTGTCAGGGTTTCCATTTCAGAGAAAATTGAGATCTCAAAAATGTTTTTACATGGTTATCATATATGAAACGAATCATTTTCAATCGGGAAATCCAAGAGACATGTGCAGAATTTTACTCGCATGTTTTATTCATGCATTTTCGGGAGTGTAATGCGATTCCTATTATTAAAAACGCATCTTTTTTTTAGAAACGTGCTTTATAGCTAAGTTCTTTTTAACATTGTTTCGCGATAACAATGATGATGTCTAACAATGTCTCACAGCCGAGAGGAGTCGATAGAAGTAAAAGAAGATGAAATAATATCATATTTTCTCTGAATATCTATCATTTTAATTTGTCGTGACATTTAGTGCGACAATAGCTACCCATCTGTTTTATTTTTACTTTTTTGTTTCATCGTGAATATTTTTAAAATTTATTTTTTAATCAAAATATTTCTCGCTCTTTGCTCTATCAAGCACAAAAAAGAAATTTGAGTTAGCTTGTAAGTAGTCTTTAGTAGTTACAATTTAATCTGGTGTGACAAAAAATGGTCAAAGTGTATGCTTTTATATTTTTGCAAGATTTGATCAGGAAATCAAAATCGAAATTAAGATTACTTTATATAGTTAAAAAGAAGAGAAGCTGAGCTGCCAACTTCCGTAAAAAAATCTACTTATCCAGTCAGAATTGTAGGATATAAAAAGAAATTTCTGTCGATAGATCCTGCCAAACAGCTTTCGCAATGATCTTTTATGCTTGAAAAATCCTTACCACGCAAATAAAAACCTCGATAATTTCATGGTGAGTAGGACGGACTGAATGGAGCATTTCAACAAAATAATTGCCCAAATTGATTGAGTAGAAGTTGAATTATAAGATTTTTCGTGTTCGCAGAGCAACCGTATAATGTCAGCGCAATTCACTCATATATATATATATATATAGAGAGAGAGAGAGAGAGAGAGAAGACAAGCTCATTATGATAATAGCTATAATGAATCTTACCTGCATTTTAAGTGTTTTTGACGAGCCTGCATGCAGGTGTACTGATCCAAAGACTAGTTTTTATCAATCTTACGCTCTTTTAATCTCTTCGAACTGCGTAATTCTTCCTAGGATGTATGTATGTCATAGACAAAATATAATCAATTTGAGAGGAAGTACATATTAAAAAAAAAACTTGCTACTCGAACAGCAATTAAAGACATTAAATAGGTTCCACATTAGCCCTCGACAACATTGTCATCATTGAATAACACACAAGTAACACGACAAGAAGGCGTGGTTAATTTTACCTGGTGTGATGCTGCAAGCTTCTCACTCATTTTTTTTCTTCGCCTATATATTCTTCTATTGTCTTCCTACTCTACTTAAGTAATTATAAAACAATCATCTGAGTCTACCAATTAACGATACAGACAGGTGAAAATATATCAAAAGAATAGGTAATGTCTACTTTTTTGCTTCAAGAAAAAAAGAAGAAGCCATTTGATGAACAACGCTATTCATGATAGACTATTAACTAAAAGAAGGAAATTCTTGTTAAGTAGTATATAAATAAATAAGATATATATATATCTACTTGTTCTAATGCTTTTTAATCGATAAGTAACTATCATTCATGACGAAAACGACATGGAATTCCAACTGTGAATAATCATTAGTAGCTATGCAAAGAATTTCGACAAAGATACGATTGATTGATATAAAGAATGGATGGTTTTATTTTTGAAATGATGAATCTATTCATACTTATTTAAAATAGATAGAAGTAAAAAAGAGTGTGTAACACGTAGCATTACTAATAGCACAATATAAAATCATAAAAGTAGTCTTAAACGATGTCAGTTGTCTTTTATTCGTTTAAATAAACAGAAGAAATAGAATTTCTAAGAAATGCACAAGATCGTAGGTAATGAATATAAATTGATTTTCGACCTGAATATTTATGAAGTAAAGTGTTATTATATCAGCTCGAGCTAATTATTGTTGATCGATTGTCGGTACTATTACTTAAAGCAAGAAATTACAAGTAATGTAAGACAGTTATACCAGAGGCTATTCTTTGAAGACAGAATGCCGATGCACTTTACCATGCCGGCAATATTTAGATTACTTCATACATACCATATGGAATGAAATACTGTCTTTTAGAAACAAATATATATATATATATGATTAAAAAGAAAGATTACAATCTATTTGAAGAGAATAATTTTTAATAAACATTTATTATGCAATGAGATATTTTTACTATTAATATTCTTAAGCGTTTCCATGGTTATGATGCATGAAATTCATGTAACTATTATCATTAAGATAGGCATTAAGGTATTAAAAACATTTGTTAAAATAAAATAGAGTAAAAAATGATGTGACAAATCTTTCGAAAAATATCCATAAAGGGTTTGAAGAAGTCCACAATCAAAAGAATAATAAAATGATTAACACAATATTTGATTAATCCTTGAATACTCTAATCTTGATGAAACTATATCCCTTTTTTGTCTCGAACATAATAATAATAATCTAATAATCATTATTCGTTGATAGATATCTTGACAATATAATAATAAATGGCAACTAATTATTTTCTTACAGAAATTTTATATTTCAACTAAATTTGCCTTATTAAAATCGTTGGCCTCATTAAAACTAGCGAGAGAGGGGGGGGG